AGAGGAATCTACCCCTCCAGAAGTACTCAGACGCGTGCTCAAGGATTTATATGAGACTGTAATACTAGCTCTGATAGCAGAAAAAAACACTTCTAACCTAAATGTGCATCCGTAGGGGAACGTAAAAGTGAACGCTGAATAACTATGCAAAGAAATGCCCTGTAATTATTTAAAATAATGAGCTAGATCTGTTTGTACTGACTTAGAATACATTGTTACAAAGGAAAATGCAAGTTGCAGAATGTCTAGGAGGGGTGAGCACCCAGCCATTCGCAGTGGTCAGGGAACTTGGATGGAATGGGTACTGGGATGGAGGAAATGAGCGGGAAGCAGCGGAAGCAAAGGTGCAGAGCCGTGAAAGAGAAGAGTGTACTGAGGAAGCTGGGAGTCGTTTAGATTTTATCTGAAGAGAATGTCTTCAGGAAGACAATCAGATTGATATTCTTAAAAGGTGTACACAAATACTTATTTGCCTGTCTTCCTTTAGAAAATAATAGAAATTTTGTGTGTGCTTTACAGAAATTAACTCACTTAATTCTTATAACAACCTACTGTTATTGTCTCCATTTTGCAGTTGAGGAAACTGAGGCACAGAGAAGTTAAGTACTTTGCCCAAGGTGACTCGGTTATTGGTAGAACTGAGATGCAAATCCAGGCCGTTTGGATCCAAAGTCCGCACCCTTTTCCATTAGACTGCACTATTTTTGTTGGTTTCTTTAAGAACATACATGTTTTCTTAGGAAAAGGGAATCAAAAAATGTTTTCCATGCGATTTCTCCCATACCGCCTACCAACCAAGGTAGGATGGCCTTTGGCCTTGCGAATGGAATCGCTCAGCTGCTCAGCAGTCCGCCAACCTTTTCTGAGCTTCCCTCTTACCATCCATCGCTGCTCATCCCCCTTAGTCTTCATCGCTGTCTCCTTCGTTTCTGGGCAGGCTATAAACCCTTTGGCTTGCAGGGTACCCAGCGTAACCCCAGCCATGAGATACATGAGGCTTGAGGCAGAGATGCAGGAGTTTTCTCTTCTGGAAATCTCCAAAAAAAAAAAAATGGGAGAGGGGACAGAGTGCTCAGTGTGAGGTCACCTTTCTCTCACTCCCGAGTAACCCTGACTGTCATGCAGCCCACAGGCTAGCACTGCACAGCACCTCTTTGCGCCTGGAGCTGTGTAGGGAGGCTGGGGTGACACAGGGAAGTAGAGGTGAGGCAAGAAGGCATGTTGCCCATCATCAGTGACCTTTCAGTCTTACGCTTTCTTTCACTCTGGCTAGTATGTCATAGCTAGTGTTATGTCAACAAAAGTGACGACATGATTCTTATTAAAAAATGATGTGATGTGGTTTTAGAGGTCTAGTTAATGGAGGGCATTGTATGCCCAACTCACCGCCATGATTATCCATTGACCACTCTGGAAACCCTGTACCTCTGCCTCAGGGAACCTCTAATACACGCCTCGACATCATTTGGGAGAATTAAGTGCTTGTAGTCATCTAACCTTGTGCTGTAAGAGGAACAGAGTATGAACATACTCCTCTTTTCAAAAATTCCAATAACTGCTGAACAAAGGCAGAAATTGTAGGAGACTTAAATATCGACTTCCGCTGATGAACGTTGTGGTTTTTCTATAGGAGGGAGACTGATAGATGATAATCTCAAAGGTTGATAAAGACTTGGGAAAGTAGTAACAATCCGGAAACCCAAAATGATGGGAAATTTTTCCTTTTTTAGAAAGAAATCGTTAAGGAAATATGATCGAGTAATTGATACTTAGAGACTCATTTTCGATACTATCTATAGCTATGAAATAAGAAACCCCATAACAAGTTTCCACCTTACTTAGACTCATAAATACACTACAAAAAGTGTCTTACTCCATTAAATTCTCTTTGATAGTCATTGCCTACATGTATATTGCATAGTTTTGATCCAGCTACGTGCAGTCTTCTAAAACATTTTAGCATTAAGAACTATTTAATTAATAACATGATTTTAAAATTCCTTCATTTTATACTTTTATTCTTCATTTATACTTTAAACAGATTTAAGGGTTGCATAAATTTGCAGATTCATGCACAATAGTGTTCTTCACAGCACTGTTTATAAAACAAAAATATTGGAAAGAATCCAAATGCCTCTGCACAGGAAATTGGTTATTAATTCAGGTGAATATTAAAAATGATGAAGTAGATCTGTAATTATCACTATAAAAAGTTATTCACTATATAGTAATTTTTTTAAAGATTACAAAAGGAGACTAAATTAATCGTTGTTTGTTTTGTTTTGTTTTGTTTTAGCTGAGCCATCATGCCACCTGTTGGCAGCTCAGCGGCAGCTCAGCTTGGGCCGGGAATAGAACCGCTGTTGCTCAGAGCTCTCACTCTTGAGCAAACTCTTAACCAACTGAGGCACTCAGTTGGCCCAAATTAATCGTTTTTTAAATTGTATATTTAGAAAAATCTAGGAAGTTATAAGTCAAAATGTTAATAGCACTTCTCTCTGAGTGCATTTACAGATGGTCTTTACTTACAATTTTCTGTCTCGTGTATTGTCTGTGGTAGTTTTTAAGAGGATTATTAATTGTGTCTATAGTTAGCATGTATAATTTTACAGATGGGAAAATACTTATCTTTCTAAAATCAAACTTGAAAAGGTAAAAGGAGCTCTGAAAGAAATGTACTGTTTATTTAAGCATACAAATTATCTTTGGGGTGACCGGTTAGCCCAGTTGGTTAGAGCATAATGCTGATAACACCAAAGTTGCTGCTTTGATCCCCACATGGGCCACTGTGAGCTGCACCCTCCTTAAACGAGTCAACTATGCCATTGTAGCATGAAAGCAGTGTGTAACCAATGACCGTGGCTGTTCCCCAATAAAAAAGTTAAAATTATATATATATATATGTGTGTGTGTATATATATATATATATATATATA